TATTATTATAATTATTGAAAGCATTTAAGAATTTGTCCAAGTTATGTTAACTTTGCGTAAGGTCAGTTAAAATTTGTATATTTATTTATAATTATACATTTAAATTATCACTGAAATTAATCTGAAAATTGAATAAACAATTTGACGTAAATATTTAAATAAACTTTTTCAAACACGAACATCTAGTTTTTTGATCATATTGGCTTCTTTTTCCTGTATTTATTAACAATTTGTAAATGTGAAAGTTTTGTACAATGAGAAAGCAAAACCGTAAAGTAATCAAAAGTAGTACGCACCAAATAAAAAAGAACGACACTTGCACATCTCTCAGCTATAATCAAACTATTATCGATCAAGTTGTTTTAAACTGATAGTAATTAATAAATATACACACGATTTTATATTTACTCACGTATATACCTACATACAATTTTATATTCATATACAGTTATGTGTATAAATGTGCACAATTCTATGTACAATTTTATGAAACTTTTAAATATTTATGCATTTAGATTTATAAGTTAATATGTACGTTAATATTTATCTTTTATAATATAATATCAGAATTAGNGTAAACTTACTCGTAGATGACAAATATAAATTCTTGAACAATAAATATCATTATTTTTATATTTGTAATAGACTTTTTTAATTTTGTGATCACATTTCTGCCTCCGAGTACTGAAAGGTCTCAAGCCAGTTTATACGCTACTGAGTATATCGAAATATCCGGATAATACCGATATTCGAATAACTCAAAAAATCCTATTTGTACTATTCGCTGCACGAAGTATACGGATATTCGTATACTATCCGTTGATTGAAGGTTATTCGTACATATATATTATATTTGAATATCCGGATATCCGAATCACACTGTTATTCGAATTTAAGCCGCAGCCCTAGAAAGAAGCAAACGGACCAAAGAACAACGAAAGATATTATTTAAAAAAGAGAAATGATTAGAAGAAAATTGTAAAGTACAACTAAAAAAAACAGTGCGTTTTTGTTAAACAGTGTAAAGTACACCTACAATTAAGTATAATAATATGTTTGTTAAAACAATTGTCAAACAATTGTAACTTGAATTTAAGTAGACATCTATCTATTTTTTATATACAATGGTCCAACTCACCTACGGTAGTGGAAATAGATAGATATAAATGTTATACTTTTTCATATTTCAAGTTTTTAAAAAAGTATGATGTTCTTTGTTTCATTACTTATAATAATCGTAAGTTCACTAAATGTAGCAAATCATACATGAATGTTTTATTCGCTCTATGATTCATTACGTAATTTGATTTTTAAAACTAAGCGGTCTTCATCTTCTTTAGAACAATAGTATTTTATATTTCAGATTTAATGCACATAATTGTTATATAACTGTACACATAAATAAATAAACCTAAAAAAAATAAATAATTAAATAAATAAATCAATAAACTAATTTGTTCTCTGTACGATTTTGCTGCTAAACAGCAGCAATTACATCTTGTAGATTATATTTTCAAAACTCACTATCTTAACACATATTACTACTCTATTTTTACGACGACAAGTCAATTTTTTAAATATTATGTAAAATTACTCCATTAATTTTATTATTATTACTATTGTATATATATTTACAGAATTATTATATACATTTTTACAAACAATTATTACAACCATATTCTATACCTATTTAAAAAACACTATAAACTGTGCTTTTTATTGTAAACTGATGCTACAACTTTATTGGATTATTGCGAGCTGTGCAGACAATAAATCCTCTTTTCACATATTAAAACGACAGTTTACGTACTATACATTTGAGGTAAAAAATGTACTTTTACCACAGGATAGAACTCGAAAATCGCAAACTGCGTATTTTGCGAGCTCATAAATCAGGGAACGTGATTACTCAATGAATTACGGTAGTTGGTTTATTTGTAGAGTACTTCTTTCTTGTAAAATGGGGTGAAAAATGCATTTCCTACTCCGGGGGTTGAGCTCAAAAATCGCGAACGACGTATTTTGCAAGCTCATAAATCAGGGAACGTGACTTGTCGATGCATGACACTAATTGTTGTATTTTGCGAATACTTTTCTCTTGAAAAATGGGGTGAAAATTGCATTTCCTATTCTAGGAGTTGAGCTCAAAATTTGAAACTTGCGTATTTTGCGAGTTTATAAATCAGGGAACGTGATTCCTTAATGAATTACACTGGTTGTTGTATTTTTTAAATACTTCACTTTTGTAAAATCAGGTGAAATATGCATTTTCTATTTCGGAGGTTGAATTTACAAATCGCAAACTACGTATTTTGCGAGCTCATAATTCAAGGAACGTCATTTCTTACTGCATTACACTACTTGTTTTATTTTGCGAGTACTTCTCTTTTGCAAAATAGGGTGAAAAGTGCATTTCTTACTCCAGGGGTTGAGCTCAAAAATTTCGAACCACGTATGTTGCGAGTTCATAAATCAGGGAACATGATTTGCCAATGAATAACATTGGTTGTTTTATTTTGCGAGTACTTTTCTCTTGTAAAATGGGGCGAAATTTGCATTTCCCACTCTAAGGGTTGGGCACGAAATTTGCAATATGCGTATTTTGAGAGCTCATAAGTCAGTGAACGGGATTCCTCAATAAATTACACAGGTTATTTTATTTTTCAAACACTTCTGTCTTGTAAATTGGGGTGAAATATGCATTTCCTATTCCGGGAGTTGAGCTCAAAAATAGCGAACTACGTATTTTGCGAGCTCAGATATCAGGGAAAGTGATTTGCCAGTAAATGGCACTGGTTGTTTTATATTGCAAGTACTTCTTTCTTGTAGAATGAAGTGAAACTTGCATTTCCTACTCCAGGGGTTGAACTCAAAATTTGCAATTTGCGTATTTTGCGAGCTCATAAATCAGGAAACGTGATTCCTCAATAAAATACGCTGGTTGTTGTATTTTTTAAGTACTTTTCTTTTGTAAATTGAGGTGAAATATGCATTTCCTATTTCGGGGGTGGAACTCAAAAATCGCAAACTGCGTATTATGCGAGCTCATAAATCAGGGAACGTGATTCCTCAAGTACTTACAAGGATCGTTGTATTTTTGAAGTACTTCTCTCTTGTAAAATGAGGTGAAATATGCATTTCCTGTTTTGGGTATTAAGTTCAAAAAGCGCAAACTGCGTGTTTTGCGAGCTCATAAATCAGGGAACGTAATTTTTCAATAAATTACGCTGGTTGTTTTATTTTTCAAACACTTCTCTCTTGTAAATTGAGGTAAATTATGCATTTCCTATTCCGGGGGTTGAGCTCAAAAATCGCAAACTACGTATTTTGCGAGCTCATAAATCAGGGAACTTGATTTGTCAATGAATGACGTTGGTTGTTTTATTTTGCGAGTACTTTTGTCTTGTAAAATGGGGTGAAAATCGCATTTCCTACTCTAGGGGTTGTGCTCAAAATTTGCAATTTGCGTAGTTTGCAAGCTCATAAATCAAGGAACGTGATTTTTTAATGCATTACATTATTTGTTTTATTTGGAGAGGACTTCTCTCTTGTAAAATAGGGTGAAAAGTGCATTTCTTATTTCGGGAATTGAGCTCAAAAATCGCGAACCACATATTTTGCGAGTTCATAAATTAGGGAACATGATGTGTCAATGAATGACATTGGTTGTTCTAGTTTGCGAGTACTTTTCTTTTGTAACATGGAGCGAAAATGGCATTTCCTAGTTTAGGGGTTGGGCTCGAAATTTGCAATTTCCGTATTTTGAGAGCTCATAAATCAGTGAACGAGATTCTTCAATGAATTACATTGGTTGTTTTATTTTTCAAACACTTCTCTCTTGTAAATTGAGGTAAATTATGCATTTCCTATTCCGGGGGTTGAGCTCAAAAATAGCGAACTACGTATTTTGCGAGCTCAGAAATCAGGGAACGTGATTTGCCAGTGAATGGCACTTGTTGTATAATGCAAGTACTACTCTCTTGTAGAAAGAGGTAAAACTTGCATTTCCTACTCTAGGGGTTGAACTCAAAGTTTGCAATTTGCGTATTTTGCGAACTCATGAATCAGGGAATGTGATTCCTCAATGAATTACGCTGGTTGTTGTATTTTTTAAGTACTTTTCTCCTGTAAAATGGGGTGAAATATGCATTTCCTATTTTGGAGGTTGAGTTCAAAAATCGCAAACTGCGTATTTTGCGAGCTCATAAATTATGGAACGTGATTTGGTAATGATATACGCTGGTTGTTTTATTTTTTAAGTACTTTTCTCTTGTAAAATGTGGTGAAAAGTGCATTTCCTACTCCGGGGGTTGAGCTCAAACATCGCGAACTGCGTATTTTGCGAGCTCATAAATCAGGGAACGTGATTTCTCGATGACTTTTGCTGGTTGTTTGATTTTGCTAGTACTTCTCTCTTGTAAAATGGGGTAAAAAGTGAAATTTTTACTCCGGGGGTAGATTTCAAAAGTCGCAAACTGCATATTTTGGATTGTTCTATAAAAAGAAACAACATTTAGTAAAGAACTAATTTGTTTGTCTTATTTTTAGAGGAATTTTCTCTTGTAATTTGGGGTAAAAAGTGGAATTTTTTTCCAGGGTGGATGTGTATAGGTCGTAATGTGTGTAGTTTGTTATTTGTAAATGTTCTTGTTATATTCCCTGTGCTACTTTTTCTTTTGTGTATAGGAAAGAGTAGATTCTTTTTTGCAAAAATACTTTCGGGGTAGTTTTGCGTGCTAAGGGTTGGAGCTCAAAAATCTAAACCAAGTTTAATTAAGAGCTCATAAATAGCTCATAATTCTGGCGCAAAGAGCAGATCGATATCTGCAGTTTTAAGTGGTAGTGGGGCGCAGTCCAAAAGGACTCAGCCCCCCCACAGAAAACTTGGAATTCCTGCTCCGCAAAACGAGCTCAAAATTTTTAAGTTGGTGGGTTCAAAAGCTCATAAATAGCTCTTAATTCTGCAACAATTTTGAATCGATTTGGACAAGGTGGGGGGGCTAGGTCTTGAGGGGTATAGAATCTTTTGTTTCCGAAATAATCACGGGGCGTTCGTTTGCTCCATCGTCATCGGTGTCGTCGTTCTCGTTGTCGGCGTCGTTGTTGTCGTCGGCATTTTCGTCATCATCGTAGTCGTTGTCGTCGTCGTCGTTATTGTTGTCGGCATCCTCGTCATCATCGTTGTCGTAGTCGTCGTCGTCGTCGTTGTTTGCGTCGTTGTTGTCGTCGGCATCCTCGTCATCATCGTTGTCGTCGTCGACGTTCTTGTCGGCGACGCCGTTGTTGTCGTTGCTGTCGTCGGCAATGATCTCGTTTTCGATTTCCGACAAAAAACGGACTGTTTCCCGCTCGTAGCGCTCGTCTTCCATTTGCGTTTTCAGCTGCCTTCTTCGAAGCTCCTCCACCGCCCATTAACGCTGTTCTTCTTCCACTTCTTTTTGTTGGAAATGGTCAGGTAATGTCCCTGGCGGATACCTAACTTCGAGCACCATCTGCACTTCATCATCTGAAAATTAATATATATATACTACCATGATCAAAAAATAACCGGAAGTTATTCATAAAAAGAAAAGTACATGTTTATTCTTCAAAATTCAAGTTGTCCCCTTTAAAGTAGTCCCCGTCGGCTGCGATGCACTTGTGCCAGCGTTTGATCCACCCTTTGAAGCTTTTCTGGAAGTCGGTTTTTGGTATAGCCATTAGTGCCTCCAGCAATTTTAGCTTTATTGCCTCCACACTCTCAAAACGAGTTCCTCGTAGTGGTTTTTTGAGTCGATC